TGATTTAAGAATTGTTTAAAAGCCTCATTTGTGTTTTAGTTCTACAAGGAATATTAAAGGGGGTACCTACAGTTGAAGTCGGAAGTTTACATTCACTTAGTTTGGAGTCATTCAAACTCGTTTTTCAACCACTCCACAAATTTCTTGTTAACAAACTATAGTTTTGGCAAGTCGGTTAGGACATCTACTTTGTGCATGACACAAGTAATTTTTCCAACAATTGTTTACAGATTATTTCACTTATAATTCACTGTACCACAATTCCAGTGGGTCAGAAGTTTACATACACTAAGTTGACTGTGCCTTTAAACAGCTTGGGAAATTCCAGAAAATGATGTCATGGCTTTAGAAGCTTCTGATAGGCTAATTGACATAATTTGAGTCAATTGGAGGTGTACCTGTGGATGTATTTCAAGGCCTACCTTCAAACTCAATGCCTCTTTGCTTGACATCATGGGAAAATCAAACGAAATCAGCTAAGACCTCAGAAAAAAAAACTTTAGACCTCCACAAGTCTGGTTCATCCTTGGGAGCAATTTCCAAACACCTGAAGGTACCACGTTCATCTGTACAAACAATAGTACGCAAGTATAAACACCATGGGACCATACAGCCATCATACCGCTCAGGAAGGAGACGTGTTCTGTCTCCTAGAGATGAACGTACTTTGGTGCGAAAAGTGCAAATCAATCCCAGAACAACAGCAAAGGACCTTGTGAAAATGCTGGAGGAAACAGGTACAAATGTATCTATATCCACAGGAAAATGAGTCCTATATCGACATAACGTGAAAGGCCGCTCAGCAAGGAAGAAGCCACTGCTCCAAAACCGCCATAAAAAAGCTAGACTACTGTTTGCAACTGCACATGGGGACAAAGATCATACTTTTTGGAGAAATGTCCTCTGGTCTGATGAAACAAAAATCGACCTGTTTGGCCATAATGACCATCGTTATGTTTGGAGGAAAAAGGGAGACGCTTGCAAGCCGAAGAACACCATCCCAACCGTCAAGCACGGGGGTGGCAGCATCATGCTGTGGGGGTGCTTTGCTGCAGGAGGGACTGGTGCACTTCACAAAATAGATGGCATCATGAGGAAGGAAAATTATGTGGATATATTGATGCAACATCTCAAGACATCAGTCAGGAAGTTAAAGCATGGTCGCAAATGGGTCTTCCAAATGGACAATGACCCCAAGCATACTTCCAAAGTTGTGGCAAAATGGCTTAAGGACAACAAAGTCAAGGTATTGGAGTGGCCATCACAAAGCCCTGACCTCAGTCCTATAGAACATGTGTGGGCAGAACTGAAAAAGCACGTGCGAGCAAGGAGGCCTACACACCTCACTCAGTTACACCAGCTCTGTCAGGAGGAATGGGCCAAAATTCACCCAACTTATTGTGGGAAGCTTGTGGAAGGCTACCCAAAACGTTTGACCCAAGTTAAACAATTTCAAGGCAATGCTACCAAATACTAATTGAGTGTATGTAAACTTCTGACCCACTGGGAATGTGATGAAAGAAATAAAAGCTGAAATAAATCACTCTCTACAATTATTCTGACATTTCACATTCTTAAAATAAAGTGGTGATCCTAACTGACCTAAGACAGGGAATTTTTACTAGGATGAAATGTCAGGAATTGTGAAAAACTGAGTTTAAATGTATTTGGCTAAGGTGTATGTAAACTTCCGACTTCAACTGTACATGGTATATGAATGGGAATAACGAAAAGGGAAAGAATTATACAAGTGAGAATGAGAGAAGGGAGAATAGCTATGTTTCCATTAACTTGTCCATGATTTTTTGGTCGCCATTTATAAAGTTCGCATAGAAAATAGATGCAACAATTGCCTGCTACGGTGCGTTTCCACTGAACGGTCTTGTGTCGATAAAAACAGCTGCCAACGTATCACCACTGTCCGTGCCATGGTGAGACTTGACTTGCACTCCTGTAGATCTGAAATAGTTGAATGGCGAAACTTGCATCAAGCCAACTAGAAAAGCAAGGGGAAGCAATTCAGGCAATCTTGAAACTCAAGACAATCCTTGTCCTGCAAAGAAGTTGAAAAATAGATTTAGCAAGCAGTAGGAATTTAGAATGAAATGTGGAGTAGAGCTTTATAGTTACGTGATGAAATCATGTCCCCCACGTACCTTCAAAATTATTCGGCAATCATAATTTATTCGAAAAACACCGGTTCTATCTTTTGTCGCAATAAAGTTTGACAAAAGAAAAATCCACCCGTAGAATGGATTTAAAATGTTGTTGATCTTTACAACATTTCTCCTGTAACTGCCGTTTCCAGAGGGGTGAAGACTGAAGAGGGAGAGTGAGATTATAACCCAGATTTTAGGAGAAGGCCTGGAACTAGAGAAAGTGAAAGACGGTGAGTGAGTAAAACTAAGACCAGAAGATTCATAAAGTAAAGACATCAAACCCAAGATGAATGAATGTGTATCAAATGAATTGGTGACATCATTAAACGTGCAGAGCCATGCCTGATAATGTAAAAAACTATAGGCTACCTTGATTATATACATTCAAGGAGACAAAGACATGGCATTTTCCCCAAGCTTGTATTTCTCCAAAAACAAAACAAATATTCTGCTCAACATCCATGACAATGTAACCATCAAGCAATGCAGGCAGTGTTAGGTTGTTGTTTTCTGCTTCGAGCTCTTATTCGCAAAACACTTACAAAACGTTTAATGAATGCAGAATGCCCACAAATGACAGGCCATTGCTGCAGGCCCAAATGACAGTATCAAATATTTCCTTTTAGGGAAATGGATGGGTGTAAATTAGGATGGAATGACAACTAGTATACACATGCTCCTCTCTACAGTGTATTTGGCTCCCTATCATTGTATCTCATTATGGTGTCAGTGGAATAGCTACTGAAACATGTTATTAGAGCCAATTCAATAGTATCTTCTATGTCAGCGTAATAGCCGACTATCTTGTTGTGTAATTGTCTGAGGGTATTGTTCTGAATTTCTAGCATTCATTCATCATTATGTGAATACCTACATCAGACCAATATGACATCTGAATACTTAATAAAATATATAAAATAAGTGCAAGTGTGAATCCAGTCCATTTGATTTTGTTGAAAATGAACTGAAGCAAATCTTTAATACAAATGATTAAGGATTGCAACAAAAAAAAAACAGTTACAGTGGGGAAAAAAAGTATTTAGTCAGCCACCAATTGTGCAAGTTCTCCCACTTAAAAAGATGAGAGAGGCCTGTAATTTTCATCATAGGTACACGTCAACTATGACAGACAAAATGAGAAAAAAAAATCCAGAAAATCACATTGTAGGATTTTTAATGAATTTATTTGCAAATTATGGTGGAAAATAAGTATTTGGTCAATAACAAAAGTTGCTCAATACTTTGTTATATACCCTTTGTTGGCAATGACACAGGTCAAACGTTTTCTGTAAGTCTTCACAAGGTTTTCACACACTGTTGCTGGTATTTTGGCCCATTCCTCCACGCAGATCTCCTCTAGAGCAGTGACGTTTTGGGGCTGTCGCTGGGCAACACAGACTTTCAACTCCCTCCAAAGATTTTCTATGGGGTTGATTTCTGGAGACTGGCTAGGCCACTCCAGGACCTTGAAATGCTTCTTACGAAGCCACTCCTTCGTTGCCCGGGCGGTGTGTTTGGGATCATTGTCATGCTGAAAGACCCAGCCACGTTTCATCTTCAATGCCCTTGCTGATGGAAGGAGGTTTTCACTCAAAATCTCATGATACATGGCCCCATTCATTCTTTCCTTTACACGGATCAGTCGTCCTGGTCCCTTTGCAGAAAAACAGCCCCAAAGCATGATGTTTCCACCCCCATGCTTCACAGTAGGTATGGTGTTCTTTGGACGCAACTCAGCATTCTTTGTCCTCCAAACACGACGAGTTGAGTTTTTACCAAAAAGTTATATTTTGGTTTCATCTGACCATATGACATTCTCCCAATCCTCTTCTGGATCATCCAAATGCACTTTAGCAAACTTCAGACGGGCCTGGACATGTACTGGCTTAAGCAGGGGGAACTGCAGGATTTGAGTCCCTGGCGGCGTAGTGTGTTACTGATGGTAGGCTTTGTTACTTTGGTCCCAGCTCTCTGCAGGTCATTCACTAGGTCCCCCCGTGTGGTTCTGGGATTTTTGCTCACCGTTCTTGTGATCATTTTGACCCCACGGGGTGAGATCTTGCGTGGAGCCCCAGATCGAGGGAGATTATCAGTGGTCTTGTATGTCTTCCATTTCCTAATAATTGCTCCCACAGTTGATTTCTTCAAACCAAGCTGCTTACCTATTGCAGATTCAGTCTTCCCAGCCTGGTGCAGGTCTACAATTTTGTTTCTGGTGTCCTTTGACAGCTCTTTGGTCTTGGCCATAGTGGAGTTTGGAGTGTGACTGTTTGAGGTTGTGGACTGAAAAAAAATTCTCATTTTGTCTGTCATAGTTGACGTGTACCTATGATGAAAATTACAGGCCTCTCTCATCTTTTTAAGTGGGAGAACTTGCACAATTGGTGGCTGACTAAATACTTTTTTCCCCCACTGTACATGTATGCCTCACATCACTTGTAGTGACAGCCAATGGAATTAAAGTAATTGGGTTACAATTTAATACTCTCTCAAAACACACCCGCGAACAGTTACTCACACACACAAAATCTCTACTGCGAAACAATTGTGCACGTTTCAAAAGACAAATATTGAAATCTTTCAATGGTATTCGAGAATCTGGAAGATCCCTTCAGATTCTGTATGTTCTATTATGAACTCCTTGTATGTCCCACATTGCACTCTATTCTCTATATAGTGCACTCCTTCGCCCCTGTTCAAAAGTAGTGCCCTATAAGGGGAATAGTGTGCCATTTCGGGCAGACCCAGTGTCAATCACTGTCGCTGGCATCTCCACTCATGTTTTCTCCTGTCCCTCCAGGACACATATTCAGTACATTCTCATGCTACTGGTGATAAGGCTCAGCTGAAACAGTCCATACTGGCTTTGGCCCTCTCCATTTCATGGAGGAAGTTGTAAAACTGGGGGAGGGTCAACTCTGAAGAAAGAACAAAAAAACTGACCAAATCTGTCAATGACACCAAGAACAATAGGCAAAGTGAACCAATGACATGTTGACTGGAAAATGGTACAGCCAGAGTAAGAGACTCACCCATGTAGACATTTTCAGTTGTTCCCCTTTCTGATGACCAACTTAAACTGGAAGAGACGTAGAGATACAGTGGGGGAAAAAAGTATTTAGTCAGCCACCAATTGTGCAAGTTCTCCCACTTAAAAAGATGAGAGAGGCCTGTAATTTTCATCATAGGTACACGTCAACTATGACAGACAAATTGAGAAAAAGAAATCCAGAAAATCACATTGCTGGATTTTTTATGAATTTATTTGCAAATTATGGTGGAAAATAAGTATTTGGTCACCTACAAACAAGCAAGATTTCTGGCTCTCAAGACCTGTAACTTCTTCTTTAAGAGGCTCCTCTGTCCTCCACTCGTTACCTGTATTAATGGCACCTGTTTGAACTTGTTATCAGTATAAAAGACACCTGTCCACAACCTCAAACAGTCACACTCCAAACTCCACTATGGCCAAGACCAAAGAGCTGTCAAAGGACACCAGAAACAAAATTGTAGACCTGCACCAGGCTGGGAAGACTGAATCTGCAATAGGTAAGCAGCTTGGTTTGAAGAAATCAACTGTGGGAGCAATTATTAGGAAATGGAACACATACAAGACCACTGATAATCTCCCTCGATCTGGGGCTCCACGCAAGATCTCACCCCGTGGGGTCAAAATGATCACAAGAACGGTGAGCAAAAATCCCAGAACCACACGGGGGGACCTAGTGAATGACCTGCAGAGAGCTGGGACCAAAGTAACAAAGCCTACCATCAGTAACACACTACGCCGCCAGGGACTCAAATCCTGCAGTTCCCCCTGCTTAAGCCAGTACATGTCCAGGCCCGTCTGAAGTTTGCTAAAGTGCATTTGGATGATCCAGAAGAGGATTGGGAGAATGTCATATGGTCAGATGAAACCAAAATATAACTTTTTGGTAAAAACTCAACTCGTCGTGTTTGGAGGACAAAGAATGCTGAGTTGCATCCAAAGAACACCATACCTACTGTGAAGCATGGGGGTGGAAACATCATGCTTTGGGGCTGTTTTTCTGCAAAGGGACCAGGACGACTGATCCGTGTAAAGGAAAGAATGAATGGGGCCATGTATCGTGAGATTTTGAGTGAAAACCTCCTTCCATCAGCAAGGGCATTGAAGATGAAACATGGCTGGGTCATTCAGCATGACAATGATCCCAAACACACCGCCCGGGCAACGAAGGAGTGGCTTCGTAAGAAGCATTTCAAGGTCCTGGAGTGGCCTAGCCAGTCTCCAGATCTCAACCCCATAGAAAATCTTTGGAGGGAGTTGAAAGTCCGTGTTGCCCAGCGACAGCCCCAAAACATCACTGCTCTAGAGAAGATCTGCATGGAGGAATGGGCCAAAATACCAGCAACAGTGTGTGAAAACTTTGTGAAGACTTACAGAAAACATTTGACCTGTGTCATTGCCAACAAAGGGTATATAACAAAGTATTGAGAAACTTTTGTTATTGACCAAATACTTATTTTCCACCATAATTTGCAAATAAATTCATAAAAAATCCTACAATGTGATTTTCTGGATTTTTTTTCTCAATTTGTCTGTCATAGTTGACGTGTACCTATGATGAAAATTACAGGCCTCTCTCATCTTTTTAAGTGGGAGAACATGCACAATTGGTGGCTGACTAAATACTTTTTTTCCCCACTTTATTTTCAAATAGTGTAGTAGAACACAGCAAATACTAAACATGGGTAGGACAGATTCTGTATACTGTGCTAGTCAGGGTTACTAGTCACCTGTCCAAAATTGTAATCAGTAACGGAACTTTTGGATTACCCAAACTCAGTAACGTAATCTGATTATTTTCCCTCTAAGAGGCATTAGAAGAGGACAAATTAATATTACCAATTTAATGACATATATTGCAGGATAAATAAATGTTAGAGTTTACATAGCTGGCCATTAATGGGATGTTGCATTTTACTTTATGGGTTGGTTATGTAGGCTTCTTCTAACCCATTGCTTTCAACTACAGATAATAATATGATTAGGCTATATCTTTACATTAAAAAACAAAGTCTGTCAGATTTCCAGTCATTCCAATTAATGTAATACCCCTTGATCTTCAAGAATATGATTTGGAAATATGGAGATATAGATCAGACAAATTGTTTTACCTGAGCATAATTGTTTTGGGGGAAACTCAGTCGGGGTTTCAACTTACTGTTAAGAGTTATAATAGAAGGATTCACAAGGTGACATTTCGAAATGTTGTTGTGCATCATCAGTTTTTCTCTTGTAATGTCAGTCACTCAATTAGCAAACCATTTTTTGATTGGTAAATTAAGTCTAGCCAGCTATCTAAACTTGTATTAATCATGGCCGAATACAGACCTGGCACGCAAGGCACGTGCCCAGGGGCCCTGACCTCCAGGGGGCCACATTGATTTTGTTAGTTACTCTCACTTAGATATCATTAACACGGCATAAGTCATGGCAAAATGTGTAGAATTGCAGGAAATTAGCTTCAAAACTGCAACATTTTCTCTACACCCCATGGCAAATTGTGTAGAATTGCAGGAAATGTACTTTCTCTCTGCCGTCATGAGGGGGGGCGACTAAAGTGTTTTGCCCGCGAGGTGGGGGGCCCCCATCCAAATTTTGCTTAGGGCCACCAAATGGCTAGGGCCGGCCCTGAATCAGCTACCCAACCAAGGCAGGGCCCCCCAGTTACCCACGAGGGCCCCCTACCTTTTTCCCTCCCCCCATCTGATGACTAGCAGAAACAATGATTGATAGGCAGCTTAAATCTTCAATTCAACCATTATTGGGTTAAAATACACAAACATTTGTGAACAGCCATCCACAACAACCACAATACGTAAGGCGCAAAAAGCTAAATGAGAGCGCAGCAGTGTGATTCACATCAATGCGCTATGTAGAGATCAATAATACGTGATATCCGTGTCGCCCGTAGGCTACACCACTGCTGTTGTCCTTACCTCCAAGCGTTTATTCAAGTTGGATAGTCTTTGGATGTCGACAGCAGTCACACCATTAGAAGACATAGCTTGGACTGTAGCCTATAAAAGCGTATTCCTGCTCTTTTCATCAAATGCATTTGGTGTGTCATAGTGGTCTCTGACTTTTTTCAATGCCGATTTAAAACTAGGTGTCCGTTTTTTCCCCGCAAACATTCTTTCTTAATTGACTTCTAGGTGGCGCAGTGGTCTAAGGCACTGCATCGCAGTGCTAACTGTGCCACTAGAGATCCTGGTTCGAATCCAGGCTCTGTCGCAGCCGGCCGCGACCGGGAGACTCATGGGCGGCGCACAATTGGCCCAGCGTCGTCCAGGGTAGGGGAGGGAATGGCCAGCAGGGATGTAGCTCAGTTGATAGAGCATGGCGTTTGCAATGCCAGGGTTGTGGGTTCGATTCCCACGGGGGGCCAGTATAAAAAAATATGTATTCACTAACTGTAAGTCGCTCTGGATAAGAGCGTCTGCTAAATGACTAAAATGTAAATGTAATCATCTAGTTTTTCAAAAGTATCTGTAATTCGATTACAGTTACTGTTTTTTTGTAATCCGTTAATCACCAACACTGGTGCTAGTAATGTGCTCATGCTATGCTCCTTCAAATCAAAACCAAAAATGTTTTGTCGCATGCGCCGAATAAAACAAGTGTATACTTTACCATGAAATGCTTATTTACGAGCCCTTTCCCAACAATGCAGTTAAAAAGTATGAAAATGTACAAATAGATACAAATAAAATAGTAACACAATAAAATAACAATAACGAGGCTATAAACAGGCTATATTTACATTTTACATTTACGTCATTTAGCAGACGCTCTTATCCAGAGCGACTTACAAATTGGTGCATTCACCTTATAGCCAGTGGGATAACCACTTTACAATGTTTTTTTTGTGTGTTTATTTTTTTATTATTTTTTTTTTGGGGGGGGGGGGGTTGGGGTAAGGGGGGGGGTAGAAGGATTACTTTATCCTATCCCAGGTATTCCTTAAAGAGGTGGGGTTTCAAATGTCTCCGGAAGGTGGTGAGTGACTCCGCTGTCCTGGCCACCACTATATATAAGGAGTACTGGTACTGAGTCAGTGTACTGGGGTACGAGGTAGTTGGGGTGATTGATTGAGGTGATTGATTGAGGTAATATGTACATGTAGGTTTGATTAGGTGATTGATTGAAGTACTATGTACATGTAGGTAGGGGGTGAAAAGCAGAAAGTCTGAGTAGCCGTTTAATTAACTGTTCAGCATTCTTATGGCTTTGGGGTAGAAGCTGTTTCGGAGCCTTTTGGTCTCAGACTTGGCAGTCCGGTACCTCTTGCTGTACGGTAGCAGTGACTGTGACTTGGGTGGCTGGAGTCTGACAATTTTTAGGGCCTTCCTCCTTCAGAGTGTTACTTTCACTATGTGTGGACATATTTCTGTCTACAAATCAAAGTGGCTGAAGCCATGGGAGAAAGTCAGTACTTAGCAGGCCGCAGGAATTCTGACACACGTAGGAAAACAGACAACGAAAACTAGAGGCTAAAGGCTAGGCGAACCGAACGAGTTTGCTAACATACTCCCTTAAAAGACCTTCCCTTGAAAAATAAGAAAAAAAACGACAATATTACAGTTTGTCCATCTTGAGACGCCATAGCCAGTGAGACTGTCTCAAAATAGTCCGAATTCATCTAAGATAACTCTGCGTTTTTGGCGAGGAAATCGTAATCACGCAATTTTAAATCTAACTAAGATGTTTGGTGCAGTATTTCTCAAGTGAAAAAATCTACATTAAAATGTTTCATCGCTCATTGAATGACAACAAACAGTTGGACAATCACTGACGAAGGGACTTCGGTTTGCCTCAAGAAAAATGTTTGTATTCACGAACATCCGAACAAACCCTTGCCGAAGACCAAAACGTCACAAAATGTCATCATAATATATGCACGAACTGTTACGAACTTTTTCGGATGGGAAACATGCAGACGCCTTAAGTCTGTCGTCATAGTGATCTATCACTCCCTCGGTCTATCAGTTAGCCCATAAAACTGGAAAATGTATCATTCAAACTTCTATCAATCTTAAAATAATCATTATTTTAACCTCTAAGCTATGAGTATGGTCTAGACCAGGGTTCTTCAATTCCGGTCCTGGAGGGCCGAAACACCTCTGTTTTTCATCCTCTCCTTCTAATCAGGGGCTAATTCAGACCTGGGACACCAGGTGAGTGCAATTAACTACCAGGTAGAAATAAAAAACAGAAGTGTTTCGGCCCTCCAGGACCGGAATTGAAGAACCCTGGTCTAGACAGTAGATACACACGTAATAAAAAAATTCTTTGCCATACAGTACCAGTCAAAAGTTTGGACACACCTACTCATTCAAGGGTTTTTCTTAATTGTTTTACTATTTTCTACATTGTAAAATAATAGTTAAGACATCAAAACTATGAAATAACACATATGGAATCATGTAGTAACCAATCATGTGTTAAACAAATCAAAATATATTTTATATTTGAGATTCTTCAAATAGCCACCCTTTGCCTTGACAGCTTTGCAAACTCTTGGCAGTCTCTCAACCAGCTTCTCCTGGAATGATTTTCCAACAGTCTTGAAGGAGTTCCCACATATGCTGAGCACTTGTTGGCTGCTTTTCCTTCACTCTGCCGTCCGACTCATCCCAAACCATCTCAATTGGGTTGAGGTCGGGGGATTGTGGAGGCCAGGTCATCTGATGCAGCACTCCATCACTCTCCTTCTTGGTAAAATAGCCCTTACACAGCCTGGAGGTGTGTTGGGTCACTGTCCTGTTGAAAAACAAATGATAGTCCCACTAAGCCCAAACCAGATGGGATGGCGTATCACTGCAGAATGCGTGCTCTTCACATATCAATCCCGGTTTCAACTGTACCAGGCAGATGGCAGACAGCGCGCATGGGGTTGTGTCGGCGAGCGGTTTGCTGATGTCAACGTTGTGAACAGAGTGCCCCATGGTGGCAGTGGGGTTATGGTATGGGCAGGCATAAGCTACGGAAAACGAACACAATTGCATTTTATCGATGGCAGTTTGAATGCACAGAGATCCTGAGGCCCATTGTCGTACCATTCATCCGCCGCCGTCACCTCATGTTTCAGCATGATAATGCACAGCCCCATGTCGCAAGGATATGTACACAATTCCTGAAAGCTGAAAATGTCCCAGTTCTTCCATGGCCTGATACTCACCAGACATGTCACCCATTGAGCATGTTTGGGATGCTCTGGATTGACGTGTACAACAGCGTGTTCCAGTTCCCGCAAATATCCAGCAACTTCGCGCAGCCATTGAAGAGGTGTGGGACAACATTCCACAGGCCACAATCAACAGCCTGATCAACTCTATACGAAGGAGATGTGTCGCACTGAATGAGGCAAATGGTGGTCACACCAGATACTGACTGGTTTTCTGATCTACATTTTTTGAAAGGTATCTGCTACCAACAGATGCATATCTGTATTCCCAGTCACATGAAACCCATAGTTTAGTGCCTAATTTATTTATTTCAATTGACTGATTTCCTTATATGAACTGTAACTAAAATCTTAGAAATTGTTGCCTTCATATTTTGGTTCAGTACAAATGAGTGAAACACACATATACAGTGAGGGAAAAAAGTATTTGATCCCCTGCTGATTTTGTACATTTGCCCACTGACAAAGACATGATCAGTCTATACTTTTAATGGTAGGTTTATTTGAACAGTGAGAGACAGAATAACAACAAAAAATTCCAGAAAAACACATGTAAAAAATGTTATGAATTGATTTGCATTTTAATGAGGGAAATAAATATTTGACCCCTCTGCAAAACATGACTTAGTACTTGGTGGCAAAACCCTTGCTGGCAATCACAGAGGTCAGACGTTTCTTGTAGTTGGCTACCAGGTTTGCACACATCTCAGGATGGATTTTTACATTTACATTTTAGTCATTTAGCAGACACTCTTATCCAGAGCGACTTACATGAGCAATTAGGGTTAAGTGCCTTGCTTAAGGGCACATCGACAGATTTTTCACCTAGTCGGCTCGGGGATTAGAACCAGCGACCTTTCGGTTACTGGCACAACGCTCTTACCCACTAAGCTACCTGCCGCCCTGTCCCACTCCTCTTTGCAGATCTTCTCCAAGTCATTAAGGTTTCGAGCCTGAGGTTTGGCAACTAGAATCTTCAGCTCCCTCTACAGATTTTCTATGGGATTAAGGTCTGGAGACTGGCTAGGCCACTCCAGGACCTTAATGTGCTTCTTCTTGAGCCACTCCTTTGTTGCCTTGGCCGTGTGTTTTGGGTCATTGTTATGCTGGAATACCCATCCACAACCAATTTTCAATGCCCCGGCTGAGGGAAGGAGGTTCTCACCCAAGATTTGATGGTACATGGCGCCGTCCATCATGCCTTTGATGCGGTGAAGTTGTCCTGTCCTCTTAGCAGAAAAACACCCCCAAAGCATAAGCTCCATTTTGGTCTCATCTGACCACATCACTTTCACCCAGTTCTCCTCGGAATCATTCAGATGTTCATTGGCAAACTTCAGACGGGCCTGTATATGTGCTTTCTTGAGCAGGGGGGCCTTGGGGGCGCTGCAGGATTTCAGTCCTTCACGGCGTAGTGTGTTACCAATTGTTTTCTTGGTGACTATGGTCCCAGCTACCTTGAGATCATTGACAAGATCCTCCTGTGTAGTTCTGGGCTGATTCCTCACTGTTCTCATGATCATTGCAACTCCACGAGGTGAGATCTTGCATGGAGCCCCAGGCCGAGGGAGATTGACAGTGCTTTTGTGTTTCTTCCATTTGCGAATAATCGCACCAACTGTTGTCACCTTCTCACCAAGCTGCTTGGCGATGGTCTTGTAGCCCATTCCAGCCTTGTGTAGGTCTACAATCTTGTCCCTGACATCCTTGGAGAGCTCTTTGGTCTTGGCCATGGTGGAGAGTTTGGAATCTGATTGATTGATTGCTTCTGTGGACAGGTGTCTTTTATACAGGTAACAAGCTGAGATTAGGAGCACTCCCTTTAAGAGTGTGCTCCTAATCTCAGCTCGTTACCTGTATAAAAGACACCTGGTAGCCAGAAATCTTTCTGATTGAGAGGAGGTCAAATACTTATTTCCCTCATTAAAATGCAAATCAATTTATAACATTTTTGACATGCGTTTTTCTGGATTGTTTTGTTGTTATTCTGTCTCTCACTGTTCAAATAAACCTACCATTAAAATTATAGACTGATCATTTCTTTGTCAGTGGGCAAATGTACAAAATCAGCAGGGGATCAAATACTTTTTTCCCTCACTGTACATTATACGATAAGGGGAGGATTAAAAGAGTGGACCATTCACAAGGGAACTTATATACTGGTCTTCTATCCTATCTTTCATAAGGTTATTTGTCTTACCACCAAACTTCCACTCCATGTCGACCAGCTGGTTAACCATAAGAGTCTGCCTTACAGCCAGCCTGGACAACACAGGGTATTGGAATTTCCAACTGAAAGAAATAATTCAATCAATTACATTTGTTCTCAATTCAATACTGACACAACATGGAGGATATGATAGTAAATGTTGTAACATACCTGTTGTGAAAAATGGGCTGCCTTGGCATCATTGAGTCCTATAAATTAAAATGTTATCGTTAAAGTTGTGCAGTGCAATGACACTGTAAAGCTCAGTACCAATATGGACTGTGGAAACTGGAGTATTTGCAGCTTTGATAGTGTACATGTGATTTATATATTACAACATACCTAAAGAGAAAAGGTCCTCTTCCTCTCCTCAGATTTTTCTTCAAGGCACCTATTGAGTTAGCATAAACTACAACACGTACTTTGTCCCTTTTAGGTTGCTGTAACCACACAATTAAATCGAACACATATTACACAGTGCATTTGGAAGGTATTCAGACCCCTTGACTTTTCCCACATTTTGTTAGGTTACAGTCTTATTCTAAAATTGATTAAATCGTTTTTTCCCCCTCATCAATCTACACACAATACCCCATAATGACAAAGTAAAAACAGGCTTTCAGAAATGTTTACACATTTATTTTAAAATAACAAATATATAAAAATAAAAAAATTCCATAAGTATTCAGACCCTTTACTCAGTACTTTGTTGAAGCACCTTTGGCAACGATTACAGCCGTGAGCCTTCTTGGGTATGATGCTACAAGCTTGGCACACCTGTATTTGGGGAGTTTCTTCCATTCTTCTCCGCAGTTCCTCTCAAACTGTCAGGTTGGGTGGGGTGCGTCGCTGCACAGCTATTTTCAGGTCTCTCCAGAGATGTTCGATCAGGTTCAATTCAGGGCTCTGGCTGAGCCACTCAAGGACATTCAGAGACTTGTTCCGAAGCCATTCCTGCCTTGTCTTGGCTGTGTGCTTAGGGTCGTTGTCCTGTTGGAAGGTGAACCTTCGCCCCAGTCTGAGGTCCTGAGCAGGTTTTCATCAAGGATCTCTCTGTACTTTGCTCCGTTCATCTTTACCTTGATCCAGACTAGTCTCCCAGTCCAATGCCCCTGAAAAACATCCCCACAGCATGATGCTGCCACTACCATGCTTCATTCAGGCCAAAGAGTTCAATCTTGGTTACATCAGACCAGAGTCCTTTAGGTGCCTTTTGGCAAACTCCAAGAGGGCTGTCATATGCCTTTTACTGTGGAGTGGCTTCTGTCTGGCCACTCTACCATAAAGGCCTGATTGGTGGAGCGCGGCAGAGATGGTTGTCCTTCTGGAAGGTTCTCCCATCTCCACAGAGGAACTCTGGAACTCTGTCAGAGTGACCATCGGGTTCTTGGTCACCTCCCTGACCAAGGCCCTTCTCCCCTGATTGCTCAGTTTGGCCGGGTGGCCAGCTCTAAGAAGAGTCTTGGTGGTTCCAAACTTATTCCTTTTAAGAATGATGGAGGCCACTGTGTTCTTGGGGACCTTCAATGCTGTATAAATGTTTTGGTACCCTTCCCCAGATCTGTGCCTCGACACAATCCTGTCTTGGAGCTCTACAGACAATTCCTTCGACCTCATGGCTTGGTTTTTGCTCTGACATGCACCGTCAACTGTGGGACCTTATATAGACAGGTGTGTACCTTTCCAAATCATGTCCAATCAATTGAATTTACCACAAGTGGACTCCAATCAAGTTGTAGAAACATCTCAAGGGTGATCAATGGAAACAGGATGCACCTGAGTTCAATTTCGAGTCTCATAGCAAAGGGTCTGAATACTTATGTAAATAAGGTATTTCTGTTTTTTATTTTTAATAAATTAGCACAACTTTCTAAAAACCTGTTTTTGCTTTGTCGTTATGGGGTATTGTGTGTAGATTGATGAGGAAAAAATGTATTTAATCAATTTTAGAATAAGGCTGTAACATAACAAAATGTGGAAAAAGTCAAGGGGTCTGAATACTTTCCGAATACACTGTATATCGCTATGGTTCTAACAGTATGGACCAGAAGAAAGGCAATTTTCCTTGATATACTGACATCTAATATATGTGCTGGAATCTTTACCATGTTTAGGTGTATTTCATGTTGTATACACAAGTTATTTCTAAATCTCTTTATTTGTGAGTGCTGTCTGTCAGTCTCACCATGGGGAAGCAGCATGACACTCTTCATAAGGTTTCTCAGAAGGCCTGCACTCATCCCATTCTCCTCTGCAAAGTCACTCAGCTGCTGCAAGAGCCTGTCCGTCTGCACATACACACCACAACGAATGAAGGAAACACAGTCAAGTGGCTGTCTGTTCACACATTCAGCACACAATTAATGATAAATTAATGTCTGTCTGTCTGTGCCCATGAGTGTGTTTACCTCTTTTGGCTCCAACAGGATATTGAAAAGAATGTCAGTCAGACTTATGAATTGCTGCAGAGAAACAGTAAAAAAAATACAGTGTTTATTGGCCTATTCAATACATTGATTCATAGTTGCCATATATCTACTTTGTTGTCAGGTAAGGTCGGCCAGACCTCATTTGAATCATGAATCATGTGACACTAGCTAGTCATGTGACCTGGGACGTGTATAGCCTAACTACACACATTTTGAAACATTGCATCATACTAAAAACAGAAATTAGTTAGGCTTTAAGTCAATTCATCAGGACAAGCAAGCATACAGCTAACAATTGCAGGCAACTGGGGTGTATTCATTACGAATACCTTTTACCATTTAATAACCACACGGAAGCAAACAGAGCAAAACGAGAGCTTCTATTGGACAAATTCAGGTAGGTCCCTCCCTGTTTCGTTCCGTTTACGTTTAAGAAACGTTTTGCAACAGAATAGGCCGAATGAATATACCACTGCAGTGTGTATAGCTAACGTTACAGTTAGCTCACTGTTCTTAGTTCATGCTCAAAATGACCATTTCACGTTATCGAATGCTCACCTGTTCGTTTAATTTGTTTAAGTTCTGAAAGTCATTATCTTTAGTAAATTGAAGTTGCTGTCGTCTAGTTCAGTGACCGGTAAACTCATAGTAAGTTATCTTGCTATTCAACTCAGCGCATTCGATATTTTCTTATTCTATGGTATTATTGTGGTCCGCAAACAAACGTTAGAGGTGCATGCCGCCACCTACTGGATGGGGTGAAAACTGATCAACTTTAGCGCATTAAATAATAAGGGAATGATGAAAAACATACTCCTAATATCCCAAAAGTAAACTAAAAATATATATATATATTTTGCTCCTTAAGTTGGATTCTGATGTCCCATCAGATCCCTACACAGGCTCAGGAGCCTGAGAGGGGGGAACATCTTCATTCAGTATTCCCTGCAACGTTTTGGCCATAAAGTCTGTTTTTCCCAATGATGTATGTAAACCCTGGATTGCTAATGCTATGTATTGGCCATTGAGAGGCATTGAAGCCACTGGTTGGCCATATTGGCACTCCCCAGTATGAGCAGTCCTCCATAGGAATGAATGTAATTCTACAGTATTTCAATTAAATAGGGAAAAATTACATTTATTTACATATTTTTGTTTTTGTAGTGGGGACAGTAACATTAGTAATAAAAAATACATATACTTTAAGGAAACATTTGCATTTTATGTCAAGCTCACATAATATAATTGAAAATTATGCATTATGGTGTATGTAATAGATAAAACGTGTTAAAAAATGTCCATAGCTTCCAAAATATTTTTTACAATGGTGGGGGATTACCAAGATGGAGGCGCGGTGGCATCAACACAGCGCTCCCAAATAGTAATCTAGTGTATATATAAATCATTGGTTTTGCAACCAACCCATCTATTGTTTCTCAAGCAAGGGGGGAGGCCGATGACATCACATAGTCACCATCAGACCAACTCCTTGAATGCCCTACTCCTTGAAGTTTGCAGTTGTGTCTAAAAAACACTATTTTGCTCAAAACATATTTTTTTACCCTTTAGTGTGTGTACTTTAATGTATATATACTTGTGATATTGCTTTTCAACCAGTTTTTTAAACTGCCATTAAAATGAACTTGCCTAAGATAAGATACCATTAGAAGAGATACTGTACATAATGACGAGATGGTCTTGTCTCCACCCTAACAATGGGAGTCGTTTTCCCAAAGGTAGGAAGGCAGGCGGTCTGCTTATCGCTGTATTCCTGCTTGGACAGATTTTGACGTCTTGTGAAGAGACGACCTGTGTCCATCAATTCTGCATAGCCTATGCAATTCCAGTGAAATTGAATAAGCATAACCTTAGGCCAGTGTTTTCCAACTCCAGCCCTCAATTAACCCCAACAGCACACATTTTCGTTGCAGCCCCAGACAAAAACACTGTATTCAACTTATCAAAGGCTTGATGATTAGTTGACAAGTAGAATCAGTTGTGCTTGTTTGGGGCCACAACATAAATATGTACTCTTTCTATTGGATAGACCATATGGTTCAAGAGAAAATAGCTTCAAAGAGTATCTTAAATAAGACATCTCAGTCTTATCCCCCCCCCTAATTATAGGCTACAGTTGACAGGCCCATTGTGAGATTATACATGTTTAGGACTATGTAAATTATAGCAGAGGTAACGTGTTCAGTGGGCCTTCATGTGAGAAGGTGGATGTGAACCCTAGTCTTCTGCTTGTCGAAATACTGCGTTAGTCCACTCAGCCAGTCTTCAGGACTAAATTGTTATGCTGAACCACGTTGTTACATTGGGCACATAGTGTCCGATTCAGACTTGAGATAAGTAGACTTAACATGGACTCAAGTAAAAAATGGTATGTTAAATCAACTTCTCCATCTCAAGTCTGAATAGGAACCCCACCTTTATTAGAAACAGGAGGAGACCGAGGGACAGGAAATGAACCCACAACTTTTGGGGCAGTAAGATGGCAAATTTATTTGGAATTTTACCCACTCAACCACACAGCCACATACCGTGTGAAGAACTTGGGCCCCCATATCAGGTGTGCACTCTAGCAAACTCTATAGTCAAGTATAAAAACAGCTAAGTTTGCGGGCGCCACCCCTGTATTCAGGTCCTTCAACAACTCAGAGAGGAATGAGCACAGGAAAGAGCACACCAAACGCTCAGGTGAAACTCCAAGAAAGAATGTGGCAATGACAATGTGAGTACAAAATGTTATTACATTGAAGAAGGAAACATTTATTTTGTGTAGCATTTCAGCTGCTAATAGTCACTGTATGCTTATAGTCTATGTCAAACAGCCATTTTGATTCATTGATCAGTGTTATTGATGCTACATGTAGTTGTTTATTGACACGTCATTGTTTGCACCTTTCATGCACTTGTTTTTTTTGCAAATGAAGGCCGTTTTTCTAGTTAATACTGCTACCTTGTTTGCCTACTAGCTTTATGAGCTTTATATATTGTTTGATGCTTCCCTCACTTTCTATATGCTACACTAAATAGCCACTGCTAATTTAGCCTGCTCTAGCTTTGGCCTACCACGCCGCATGTTATTGCATCCCACTTTTGACGTTCATATTGTTATCTGGTTGCTATAGTTGCATAGCTTCATTCAGGTATATCCATTTTGCATATTTCTATTGATATGTATAATAATTGTATATTCATATTGCAATTTATTAATATTATAGAAGTTAATAACTTAACTATGCATTCATGTACTATCATTATTGCTTGTTATTATTAGCTATTTCTCTGTCTCCCTGCAGAAAAATATACATACATCAGAGGAGGCTGGTGGAGGATGGGCTCGTTGTAATGGCTGGAACGGAATCAATGTAACGGTATCAAACATATGGAAACCACATGTTTGACTCCATTCCATTAATTCCATTCCAGCCATTACAATGAGCCCTTCCTCCTATAGCTCCTCCCACCAGCCACCTCTGACATACATACTACGTTACCACAGGCTGGCCAATCCTAACCAAAGCCAATCAAGACAAGGATCACAGGCTAATGCCAAGTCAATATCCTCTAACTCAACTGTACTGTGATTCAATCCATTTGAAGAACCTTCTATGTACCAACATCTGAATATAAAGACTTCATTGAGCCCTGGGCTGAAGTTTCGTACAAGTTTTGTAAGTGCTACTGCTAACATTAGCAGTCATTGCCTGTATTTTTTCCATGAATGTGAAATATAATGCCATATTTCTGTTGATTTTGAAGAATATTAATGTGATAAATACCATACCGATCTTTGAACTGTCTTACTTTATCAATATAAAAATGTGAAAGACCTGTTAATGTTTTGTTGTCATTTGGTAATTTGCAAAGAAAAGATAAGGCATTTGAAGCTTCAAAATGATGTTTCGAAAATTAATTATTATCCTGGACAAACGTATTAATTTGTATTTTCACAAAACTATATTTTCTCATATCCTTTGTTTAAGCATAATACTGTACATTTGACCTTTTGGAATGACCAATGAGGAGTTTATCAGCACAAGAGCAGGGAATACACAATAAGAGGAGGGACTCCCATTTACTGTATTTGGAAACTCCAGAAGAAGGGATCTAGTTCTGCACTAAACAGGACTCGAAACACCATACTAGTGTTTTCAATCTTTTCCGGGTTAGTGCTCCCAGCCTCTTGCAAGGTGTTGCACAACTAATGATTAAGTGGTGTTTCAGAACACCTTAGGATGAATGTTTTGGTACACCTTAAATCTGTCTCATAACCCCTTACACCCATGTGTTTCAAAACTCCAGCAAAGTTAGTTTTGTCTCCTTAACGCTGGTGGCAGTTCAGTTGCCACTAGTTTTAGTGTTACAAAACACTTCATTATAACAGTGCAATAGCAAGTAATATAAATAAAAGTGTGTAAAAATATAAAGGATAGTTGATGCTGAAACCCTCATATTAAACAGCAATGGTATTCACAAAGTTGATAGGTTATATTTAGGATAATGTTTCACAGCTTTGTCATTCTATTTTTTATCTTAAAATTCAATTATTGTATTATTTTAGATATTTTACATGTGATAAGGCCACACAGGGGGCCAGCGATAACTACAGACACCTGTGAAAATCTGAAGTACCCAAAAAGGCCACTAGATGTCTTGTGATAAATTACATAAACTCCTTGAAAGTTACCAAAATGCTGGTAGTTTATTTGTAAACTTCAAAATGTGCCAGTAATATACCCTCCCTTTGCAACCCTATCAATAATCAAGTTCAAATTAAGGTTTGGTTTGCAGGTAGGATGAACGAAGAACATTACATAGGTTACAATACAAAACATAGAAACATGTAAGGAAAATGTGTGATAGAATCCTTTAAATGGGCACAGTTATGATTATGTATTTGTTATTATACCAATGGATTTAATAAGACTTCAGTAAATTAATAGAATGGGCAATCCTTTTTCAGTGACAACTTCAAATGTTTGGATATATTGTTATTGTGGACATTAGGTTACACGTACACG